AGAATACTCTGATAATCCTTAATTCAAGGTGCTCCCCTGGCATGCAAAATTTAAATTCACCACTCTTAAGTCAGCTAGGGTGGGGATTTAAAAACAGGGCTCTTGCTTTGCAGATACGCATCTGAAATACCTGGTAGCTGTTGACAAAGGGGGAAGAGGGTCTCCTGGGTTCTTCCCTAAGAAAAGTACCTATGCCAGGTTAGCTCCAACTCCAGTAGTGGAATCATATCTGCAAAACCTCCTCAGCATTCCTACCAGCTACCTGAGGTGGCTTCCTCTTCAGCTTGCTGGTTTCTATGAATCTAATTCTTAAACACCTCACTCCCCCACATCTATTAATTAGGGGCCCTGGGGGCCAAACCTAGGGCTAAGAATTCCAATAGGCCTCTTGCTGCCTAGAAGTTAGGATTTATTGGGCATATCTACACGAGACACTAAATGTGCAGTAGATTAATTTTACTGTGCATTAGTGCATCATGGCAAAAGCCATGCTAATGCAGTAATGCACAATAGAATTAGTCTGATGCACATTAGTGTCACAAGAAACACCTTGCACCAGCGCTACTGCACAGTAGTGCTGGTTACTGCACATTCAGTAGTATCCTTTATAATAGGCATTAAACTGAATATGCAGTAACCACAGAACATTCACGAACATGTAGACATACCCACTGTACCTAAATCCCTTCATGGATGAACCCCAAGATCCACAGAATACAGTTCAAGGGCTGCTGCACAAACATGGCTTAAAGCTCATCCTATCCTCTTAGTCCTGTTGGCAATGCTGGTTCTCTCGTGTTATGTTCAGAGGCTGTCCTGAGTTACTTACAGGTTCAACCAGCCAGTTGAAGTGGAGGAGCAGCAGAGTCTTCACCCACACCCCTTTCCACTGCTCAAACCCCTGCTACACCAGCAGCAGGGAGCATGTGTGTCCTAGGAAACCCTATATTGACTCTGCCCTACTGAGATGTTCCTCTCCAGGCCAAATTACACCATCAAAATGGTGCAAAACTATTGCACCACACTGGAGGAAAGGGCTCGATGCTTGAAACAATCCCCGAACTAGTAGTTTATTCACAGAACATTTTATTAAAGAAGCAAGTGATTAAATCTGTTATTGGTGAATCAGAAGTCCTTTTGATACATGTGGCATGCAGAACTGAGGGACCTCAAATAGCATGCCTTAGCAGAGAAGGTATTATAGTGAGGTAAGTCTGAGTTAAACTATATTCACTGTGTTGAAGAAGAACCCATGAGCAGCATCACTGGCTGTGAGAGAGGGGAGGACTTTGTAGATAAGGCATTGAGTACTCGCTTGGGAGGCCCCTAACCAAGCAGGGGTTTTCATGTGACCTTGGGAAAGTCACATAGTGGCAGAATCTACTTCACCTATTAGGCATCTATGTGGACTTAGGCACCCAAATGCAATTTTATTCCACCTTGCTGAAGTCCTGAAAAATCCATTAATGCATCTACTTTTGTAATACACCATCATCTGTCCCATAAGAATTAATCACAAAAAAGCAGCAAGGAGGACTCACTTACCTTTTGCATTAACTATTTTTCAGAGACTCAAGCAGTGTGCAAAAGAATCACACTTAGAATTGTGCCTAACTGATGGAATAGGATCTGGTCCTGAGTACCAAATTTAAGTGACTAAATTAAAGGGAGTTATTGGGAAGTGTCTAGAGACTGTTGACAAAATCTACATCCATTAGTGCCAAAACACCTTTGAAAACTTTGATCTGTTACCCCCATCGCTCAGTTCCCATCTTCTAAAATCAAGGTGGGAAACTGTATTTCCTTTGTCTGCTTGATATGGAAGCACTCCAAGGCCAAGACTGACTCTTATTGTGTATGTACACAGGGCTTAGCACAATGGAGTCTCTAGCTGCTCCTGCAATATGGAGAATCTCAGAAGGCGGACACACACAGCATTTAGACCAATTTAAATATGGTTTAAACTGCAAGTGGCCAGACATAAAAACCAATTTAGAATGGTTTAAACTTTCTGGACCATTTAAAAATATACCTAGATAATCAAGTGAACCTCATACTAGTTCAGTGCTATATGCAGACACTCAGCTTTCTGTGACTAGTATCTAGTCAATCCTTCAGATATCCCACACTACACAACTCCCCACAGACACATCCCAGCCCCCTCCTGGCTACTTTGGTATACAGCCAGAACTGTCCTGGTCTAAGAGAGAGGAACTGCAGCCACACGGATGCATAGGGAGGCTTCCTGGCCCCACTGTTTCTGTGTGTGCCTGGAGTCCAGTTTGCCATGGCTTTAAAGAGCACTTTCCCTCAAGTCACTCATCAGTTTCCTTCTTGATGTGGCAATTGACATGGGTATGTAGAACCCAGGAAACTATGGGCAATTTTAGGGAAAGTGCTGTTTAAAGCCCCAAAGACCTTGGGCAGACCCCCCGAGCACCCAGCCCCCAGGAACACAGAAGTAGTAGTCCAGGCAGCCCCCCACATATACCTAGCGACCCCCAATTCCAAGTCACAGTTGAATGCACTGACCCCTGATCAGTTGTCATGAGTGGAAATAAATTGATGAGCACCACAGAGACCTTGGGCAGCCCCCCAGCAACTCAGAAGCTGTGGTCCAGGGAATGCCCCCAGCCATCTACCTCCAGTCAGCATAGCACCACACAGAGTTTGGTAAAGTACAGGAACCTTCTTTATCGAACTCAAGTGTAGGAGAGAAAGGAAAACAGAGCATTTCATTTGCATGCAGTTGACATCTTCCTGTTCATTTTCCTTGGTGTTCAGCCAATTGGGGTCTTCCTCTTTTGCTTAGGGAATTGTGGGGAAACTCCAGAGGATCACAACCAGGAGACTCCAGTGCCTAAAGATGACCCTTCTTCTTGGACCCTTGGCAATGTTAAGAGTGGACATCTCTGACCTATGTCAATTGTGGACCATTTCCCAATCAGTGACATTCTGGAAATGGTTCAAGTGGTATGTTGGTCTGCACTCTTGGGGTATGTGCCCCATGTGCTTGGCTTATAGGGTTTTCTTCACCATCTTCTGCAAGGAGAGGCCAAGAGCCTCAATAGTTGCCTTTCACCGTTGCTCTGAAGGATGCAAAGCAGTTGTTATTCCTGTGGTAGCCACTTCTCTGTCAGTGTCTCAGCCATGAGAGGATCTGCTTTGAGAACAGGATGGGAAAGATTCAAAATTCGAGCTTAAATTGAGTATATTGTAAAGGAACAGCAGTAAAAGAGCAAGTGGCTTTCAGCCTAAGTGCAAAATGACTCAAAGCTCTTAGTGAGTCTTTTCAAGGCTACTTTAGAAACCACAGACAAAATTAGGAACAAGTGGAGACAAATTACAAGGTTATTCACCCAGAGAGGCACAGCTGACAGTCAGCACCTCATTGGGATACATGTCAGAAGGGCAAAACCAGCAAGAACTTAGCACAAAGAGAATGCAGAACCATGTGCAAGATGCCTGGACTTCTTATACAAAGCATGGGAAAAGGTGAGCACTTCGCAATGGGGCCCACAAGGAGCTGTAGCAGAAATTGTCCTCTCTCACTTCAGGCAAGTGACCCAGCCACTAAGCTACAGTCCTAACCCACCCCATGACCCACCTCACACTTCGTAGCCAGGGATGGATGCAAGGGTAGGTACAGTGGTGCAGCTGCACCTTCCTTTGATTCCTGCTCCACCCACAGTTTAAAAGAAACTGCCTGGGAGTGGCAGCAGCATTTCTATTCAGGGAGTGCTGAGGAAATCAATTGACTTTATGGCTCATTATAATCTGCCCAATTCCTGCTGATCTCTCTTCCCTGAACAGGTGTTAATGATCCTCTCTCCTTTTTAATGGCCTTGATGTTCCATTAATAAAATTATCGTTTCTTCTGCAATCTTGCTATCTGTTAGCCATTCCTGGTAATATTCCTTTTCTATTTCACAGCCCTTCAGACTGTTTTTTGATCTAGCTAAAACACGTAAACAAGGTATGGTAATATAAAATTAAAACTGTAAATCTTTAACTGGAGAAAAAAGTGTCTTGTGTTATATATGATAGTGAGCCCCATCATCTGCACCCCGCTTTCCAGATTCCTAGACCCACCCATGTTTGTGACACCATGAATCTTGAGTTCTCTCCTCCCTGGACCCCAGGCCTCCTATTTTCTGCAGGAAGGCTATAACCACTAGGCTTATATAGAAGAGCCTCCTCATCCTCCTGGGAGAGAGTTTTATGAGAACATCAGGCCCACACAGTGCAAGAAAGCCCATCCCACTGGACAAAGAATAGCTACCAGGTTGAGTCCCCTCAACCTGTCACCATGGCATCCTTCAAACAGAGGGATGCCAGCCTTCTGAATCCTAGTAGGGCTTTGGGGTAAGCAAGGTACAAGTGGCCCAACCCAGTCAAGATTGAGCTGTTCTGGGCATGTGCAGAAGCACAAGACAAAGTGCCTGGGGAGTCAAAGCACCGATAGAGTGCAGCTCTGCAAGGTTTAGGTAGCATCTGTTTTGGAGCAAGGTTGAATTTGTCCTGCAGTAGAGACTGTCCAAAACATTTATTCTCTTCTTTGAAAGGGCTCCCAGACATAAGATACATGCAGGATTGGCAAGACACCCTCCCAGCAGTCAGCATCTGAGTTAACCCTATTCTCAGCAAGGGTCTTCTCCAGGGTTCCACCAGGAGTCAGGCTTCCTCCTGTTGCACAGACAATAAGAATGCAACACCAGTGCCTTGGAGCCCTTGGGACCCTTGTGTGCCAGGGAATGGCCAGATACATGACAGTCTCATGATCTAAACAGACACAACTAACAGAAGAAGCTTTGCAAAATTCACTATATCGCAAAATCCACTATATCAAGACAGGGCCAAAAGCAGCTTCCCCAATGTTATAAAGAGCATGTACAGCAGAACTGGAACTGAAGACACCGCTCAACAATGCTTAGTCACAGCTCCATCCTTTACTCTGAGCCATGGATCAAACAGACAGCAGGAAAGGTTCCTAGAGTTAAAATGAAGTCCCACCTGCAGAAGCCTTTAGAACATCAAAATGGTTTGTGTTCCCTCCCGCAGAGGGATTAAGTGGTACAATAGGAGAAGCAAATATGTGACTCTGATCAAGCTTGAAAAATGCCTTTTAAAAAAAAGAAAGAGAAAGAATTATCTTGGGGAGTGGATGGAGAGCTTGAAAAGCTCTGTGACTTGGTGGGGGGGTCACTGAAGAAAGATCATCAGAACTGACTTTATGATAAAGCAGGTCTCCGGCATACAGACACTGCCTCTAGTAATGAAACCCAGGGCAGAGGAGGGGAAGGCTGACAGAGACTGTGCCCAGAGCACTGCTTTGACCACACTGTCCAGAGTACAGAATGAGGTCCGAGATGCACCCCATGGTTCTGTAGGTCAGGCAGAGGTGATCCAGTACAGGAAAATATACTGGCTTTGCTTTAGTATGGCAGTCTTGCCCAGGGCACTTTAAAATGGTGAGCTTTTTTTCCCTTCATCTGTTTATTATTATAACTAGGGCAAGGCTAATGCCTCACAAGAACCATGACTTTATTGCCTGCTCTGAGCTAAATCATGGTGTCAGAGGAGTCAGCTGCCCAGCACAACAATCAGCCATAAGAGAAAACAGATATGGTCTAGAAGCAGTTCCCAGTACATGAATGGCAAGGTCAGTTTGTGCTCACCTTGTAGTAGTCTGACTGTTCTGTTCTAGCCTCCTTCCTCCTCAGCCTTCAAACCACCCAATTTAACACAAGGGCATTGTTGCAGGCCTCACATTTTTCACGTGCTGTCGCATCACACCATATCCATCCTTTTCTTACTGCCAGGAAGCCAGTCACCTCCTGAATGAGAGAAGGAAAATATAAAATTAAAAAGGCCAAAGCTCAAGGACAGTACATGTGGCCTCTTGTGCTTTTATGCCTATTAATCACAGCTCTGCTCATCACTTCTGCATTTATTTTAGAATTCACACTATGTTTCTACCCAACTCCACCTCAATATCTATCTCCACCCCCTTCTTTGCCCTTTCCTCTCCTTGGACTCAGATCAAGGCCATTGAAGTCAGTGGAAATACTTTGGAAAGATAATGGAAAGTATTTGGATGGGGCCCATAAGCCTCATACACAGTTACCAGCCCTCGATACCATTAGCCACTTATGCCTACAAAGATTTTCAATCTTTGATGTGCATCGGGCTTCCCTAAGTGAGCTACAGCATTATATTATAGTTCCATTTTTTTCCGTTATTCATCTCACTCCCACCTAGACTACATCCTGCTTTTCCATGGCCATAGATTCATAGATGCTAGGGTTAGAAGGGACCTCAGTAGATCATTGAGTCCAACTTCCTGCCCTGGACAGGAAAGAGAGCTGGGGTCTGACAACTCAAGCCAGGTGCTTGTCCAGTCTCCTCTTAAAGACCCCCAAGGTAGGGGAGAGCACCACCTCCCTTGGAAGCCCATTCCAGATTCTGGCAACCCTTACCGTGAAGAAGTTCTTTCTGATGTCCAACCTAAATCTTCTCTCTATTAGCTTGTGGCCAGTGTTTCTGGTTATTCCAAGGGGTGTTCTGGTAAACAGAGCATCTCCTACTCCCTGCTGCCCTCGCCCCCCCCCGCCCGGCGCTCCCTCTCCTCCGGTGAATTTGCATACTGCCACAAGATCCCCACTCTGCCTTTTCCTGCAGAGGCTGAAAAGGTCCAGGCCCCTCAGCCTTTTCTCATAAGGCCTTCCCTGCAGGCCTCTAACCAAACAAGTGGCCCTCCTCTGGACCCTCTCAAGATTGTCTACATCCTTCTTGAAATGTGGCACCCAGAATTGGATACAGTACTCTAGCTGCAGCCTGACCAGTGCCACATAGAGGGGGAGCATCGCCTCCCTGGACCTGTTCATGATGTACCTACTAATGCATGACAAAGTGCAGTTAGCTCTGCTAATCACTTCACCACATTGACGACTCGCATTCATCTTGGAGTCGACAACGACGCTGAGATCTCTTTCTGCCACTGTGCTGCTGAGAAGGTCATCCCCCAGCCTATAGGTGTGCTGATGATTCCCTCTCCCTAGGTGCAGCACCTTGCACTTGTCATTGTTCAATTGTATCCTATTGTTCTCTGCCTACTTCTCTAACCTGTCCAGGTCTGCCTGGATTCGGTTTCTTCCCATCAGTGCATTTACTTTGCCCCATAGTTTGGTGTCATCTGAAAATTTGGACAGAATGCTTTCCATGCTCATCTACTCTACAAATTATTAGATGCACACAGTTTTTTGCAGGCAGCCATGTTCCATTTTGAGGCCAGTCTGCAAATACAGTTAAGCCACCTCTCTGAATGCCATGGCCCAAATCCAGCTCCACTTGAGCAGAAGCTATCCAGTGCCATTAAACCATGCTATCCAATAGATATTAAACACAAAATACCAAGATGGTAGGAGCTTAGCCCTGAAACCAGGGCCTCTCCCTTCCAGGATGCACTGTCTGTCTCAGTCACATTTCCTCTGGCTGGCTTTCCTTCTGGCCACACTTATCTTCTTTTCTTGGCTACTTATTCCAGGTGTTTGGGGCCATGTCTGGTTTGTGATACTTTGCAGGAAAGCAAGAGATTCAGGTTCAAACCCACTGTGGCTTGGTGAAAGATGTAAAACCTGGGTCTACCACTTCTTGATCATGCACCTTAACCAGTAATCTAGTGAGATAAAACTTTCAGGTATACACTTTCCAAGAGAACTTTCTAAAATCCACATAAGTGTTCCAAAATGCCACTCATGGAGATAAAGTTAACTGCAGTCATCAAAAAGTAAAGTTGGGTTTAGGCCTACAAGTCCTGTAACCAGCACTGTTCCACCGGGGCAACGGGGTGGGATCCCGTGTTAACTGTATCAGGACAAAACAGTCTTCTAGCAACAATCCCATAGGACTGATACCCACTCTGGTCACAATTTTAATTTCTGTTGCCCTAAGATGAGGTTGAGCCAGAGTCCACATGTCCCCGCACTGTCTCTCTCTCTCTTTGCCCTTCATCCCTGCCTCCCCCACCCCCCACCTACAAATAGTCAGCCCCCAGTGTTATCCGGAAGTAATTCCTCTCATCCTGCTCACCCACCTCTCCACGCATTTATACTCACCCACCTATGGTACCTTAGCATTCAGGTACAGCACCATGGACAGCTGCCGGGAACTTCCCAGGCAAGCCTCAGGCTGCAACCCAGTCATGGAAACAAGCATGGGGCTTCCTCAGTCTTGGGATGAAGGGATAGTGCAAGGGGAAGGAGGGAAGAGGGTGGAGGGCAGAGGGAGAGGCTGTCTCCTGTCACACCTGCTTGCTAGGGCTCAAACTCCATCCTACTTTATAAAACACAGTGGAGCACCCTGAGGAAAGAACCCCAGAGGGACAGAGATATGCTTGAGGTCAAAGAGAAGGGACTCCCAGTACACAGACCCCATGAAGAGTTCCAGGAAGTTCAAGACTTGGCCAAACAGGACAGAGACAGATGTCAATGAGAAGGTTGGTGTATCACTGCATGCTTTTTCTAAGCAAACTTTTTCATGGATCCCCAAACTTCCTCCACTTCTCCTTCTCTGAGAGTTGTACTAATTAGAGAAGCACCGCATCTCTTGTATCGGTGTTCCTGCACTTAAAAATGGTAGTGGGGGCACTTGAACTAAAGCTCATTCAACAGGCTTTAGTTCAAACACCCATGCTGCCATTAAGCTCAAGGATGCAGATACACAAAACACAGAAGGTTGCTGCAGCATGGTAATTCCCATGCTCCAGCAGACTCGATTAATCAAGTCTACTCCAACACACTGGAATTCCTGACTACAAGCCAGTCACTACAGTCCATAATTAGCTCAGCAACAGTTACTGCCCTACCCTTTTCCCTGTTACCCAGGATAGCTGACAGCCCACCTGCACAAACTCTCACAACTACAGGCTTTCTGAAGGCATCCTTGCCCAACTTCATACTCCCTGCTGACAGCTGCTGAACAGTCCTGCATCAAGTCTGTCCCAGCTCATCATCCCATAAAGATCTTGATGGAAAATTTTTCAGGAACTCTCACTTCTCTCTTCCAGTTCACTAATCCATGAATTTAAGGATGCCCATCTTATCTGGCTCAATGGTCAAAGCCAAGGTATCCTTGGAGACATCCCTTGCACTCTTGCTGAATACTGGCCTTGACTGGGAGGAAGAAAAAACAGACAAGGAAAAACACATTATCTGGGCATGAAACAGAGATGTAAAGAGCATCCCTGTTTCTTCTCCAGCTCAAAACATGAGGTGCATAGGCTTTATGGAGCTAAACCAAAATACCTCCTAACAGCCACTGCACCATACAAACAGTGCTATCTTTCTCAGACCCCAAACCAATTGACACTGAATCCTTTCTACTCAACCCAGGGAAAGATAAGAATTGCTGGGACTTTGCATATGCAGACCTGTAATTCATGAAGGAACTGTCACCACTCAGCACCTTGATGTTGCATGGCTTGGAATGATTTCAGACATATTTCTCCTGTTATTACTGCTCAATGAAATTTTATTTTGTGACGGGGGTTTTTTTGCTTGAAAAATGGACACACCTCCCAAAACCTGTATCCACCTCTCCAATGTAGAAGTTGTTACTTGTCCAGAACCCACATGCAAGCCAAGTTCTGTAAGGTACACAAGAGAGAGATCTTAAGACCTCCAGGGGTTGAAAAGTGCTTCAAATTCCTCTCACAACTGTCCTGATGTTGGGCTGTTAATGAACAGACCAGTCAGTCTTTCCACTTCTGCCCTCCAACCTACCAGTCACCCCCCCCCACATGCACACACACTGCCTTTGATTCAGAGAGGTTACATAAAGCACAGCAAGCAGAAATGTTCACCCTAATGAGATCCAGCCTAGCCATGAGGCATCTCCAGTACCTTCTCAGGCTGCCAAATGCACAGTCAACAATCACCTAGTAGGTGCTCAGACAGTAACAATGTCTCTCTCCTTGCTGCAGAGCTTGAGAAGGCAAAGAGAACCACCCCCACCCCCCGCCCCCCAAATCATAAGGATTAGTAGTGTAAGGATTTCTTTATACAACATAGGCAGAGGGCAGAGTTTATTTGCACCTTGTAGACTAACTAAATCAGAGCTACATAAACTTTCATAAGCAGTAGATTATTTCATCAGTTTCTATGAAGGAAGAGCAGTGATTAGAATACAATGGGTAGGGAAGAGGGAGGAAAAAGGAGAGGGCATTGCTGGGAGAGGCAAGGTGGGCAGAAGAGACGAAAACCAAGCAGTTCATAGAATTATAAAAAATTAGGGTTGGAAGGGACCACAGGAGGTCATCTAATCCAAACCTTTGTCCAAAGCAGGACCATCTTCAACTATATTAATACAGCCAAGGCTTTATCTAGCCTGGTTTTAAAAACCTCCAAGGATGGAGAGTCCACCACCTCTCTAGGTAACCTGGTTCAGTGCTTTACACGTTCCTAGTAAGCAAGTTTTTCCTAATATCTAATCTAAACCTCCTTTGCTGCAGCTTGAAACCATTGCTCCTTGTTCTGTCATCTGCTACCATTCAGAACAGTCTAGCTCCATCCTATTTTGAACCCCTCTTCAGGTAATTAAAGGTTGCTATCACATCCTCCCTCAGTCTTCTCTCCTCCATAATAAATAAGCCCAGTTCATAGTTTCATAGCTGGTAGGGTCAGAAGGGACCTGAGCATATCATCAAGTCCGACCCCCTGCCATGGCAGGAAAAAGTACTGGGGTCAAACGACCCCAGCAAGGTGTTCGTCTAACCTCCTCTTAAAGACCCCCAGGGTAGGAGCCAGCACCACTTCTCTTGGAAGTTGGTTCCAGATCC